TTGGGCACGACACATTTCTATTTTAACCAATAGAATATAACAATGGGCTATAGGGCGCCAACAGCTAACTGAGTTTGCTTTGAATCATTTATAAAGCAATAATCTTTCATAGTCACTTTGTGGCTGAAATACTGCCGATGTGACTGTAGTCAAGCGAGGAAGGCACGGAAAAAAGCAATAATTCCGCCGCCAACCTATGTCAAAGCCAGGTGCACTGTTTAACAAACTAAACATCAATCTTGGCGAAATTATATATCAAAAATCAATTCACAATGTCCAAGGTATGGAATATGGTACAAAAGATCAAAGGTAAAGGCTGTAAATCTAGCATCCACCACCTTAAAAATGGAAATGAAATATTTACAGATACTTCAGGTATTGCAAATAAATTAGGTGAACCTTTGGCTAAGCACACTTCCTCCGCTAACTATGTACCTAAATTTCAAAAGTATCAACAGCAACAAGAAAAGAAAACTATTAATTTCAAAATGAGGAAGACTACAATGAACTATTTTCTATTCATAAGCTTTATAAACCTCTTGAACAAGCTCACGATACTGCTGCAGGTCCTGATAAAATTAATTATCAACTCCTGAAGCACTTACCAGAATCATGTTTGGAGACACTTTTAAATATCTTTGATAATATTTGGACATCGGGAGAATTTCCTTCTTCATGGCGTGATGCTTTAATTGTTTCAATTCCTAAACCTGGACGTGACCATACTGAACCTTCAAATTATAGACCAATTTCACTAACTAGCTGTGTTTGCAAAACAATGGAACGCATGATCAATAATCAATTAGTTTGGTACTTGGAAACCAATAATCTAATAACTGATATACAATGTGGTTTCCGTAAAAAAAGAAGTACAACTGATCATTTAGTGCGTTTAGAATCTTTTGTTGAAAATGTAATAATGAATAAACAGCATTCAGTGTCGATCTTTTTCGATTTTGAAAAAGCATAGGACACTACGTGGAAACATGGTATTTTAAGGGATTTACATGCTTTTTTCTATCCACACCAAGGTATATAAGCTTTTATTCCTCCAAAAGGAGAGTACAATGAGATGCATATAAATTAAATTACATTATACATGGTTGGTTGGTTATCATTATTATTGTCATTTTTTGGGGTGTATTATTATTTTATGCATATGTTTTAAAACAAAAATTAGTTTGACTGTCACACAGCCCCATCAGAGTTCCACACGTTTGTTGAAGGATGCAATGTGAGTTATGATGGTTTTGGCATATTGCAATGTCTCGTCATCACTCAGCTGTAACGGAGGTTTGAGTGACCAGTAACCAGTCCAATGTCACTCTGGTTGTGATGGCAGACACTGACCTCAATTGGACCTCAGTTGATGATGTCGCACCATAGACTCTCTCTAATGTCAGATGTTCCAGAGTAGGAGCACACAGTGTGCACCAGAAGATCACAGTAGTCCTCATGGCACAGTTTACATTGTCCCTTGACTTTGCCAGGTCTCCAAAACGCACACAGCTGGACAACCACTCTGCACAAGGGTTTCAAGGAGAGATAACTCTTGTCTACCAACTAGGCCATGTGAGGTTGGATATGGGGGTGAATCAGTTTGAAGTGCATAAGGGCGGGATCTTCATCCATTCTGGTCACCCACTGCCTCTCTTCGTGCTGCTTAACAGTGGCTTTAACCTTCTTCTTCCAGGACATGTACGTCATGAATACTCCTGTTGCTAAAAAGGAATGGTAATTTTCTTGCAACTCATATCTATGTAGAAGTCGACGAATATCAGGTATGAAGCCCAGTGATGTACTGCTACAGTTCTACCTGAGGGAATACAACCGAGTGAGAAATAACTGAGATGATATATTCCGCCTTTTTGTATGACAAAGTCTCCCAAAGAAATGAAGTTTTTGTTTGTCGATATATGCTCCTACAGAAAGGATACCAAGGAGAGCGTTGCAAATGTCAGTCCTTCACGGCATCTGGGAAGTCCTTGTGCCAGCTTCATCGCGAATCTCTGTGCACGCTCGATTGCTAGGATCTCACCCTTACTCAGACAAGACCAAAGCTCACAACCGTATAGGGTTTGGGTAAACATATGGACTGGATGAGTTTTAAACTTACTGGTTAGTGGATCTAGGGCGTATGAATGGGGTCCACGTTTAATTAATGCCATTGGGGTTGATTTTAGCTTTGAGCAGGCCTTTACGGTTCTGTTCCAAGAATCCTTCCGAACTTCTTCCAATTGACAGTCTTTCTGTCGAGGCTGAGGAGCCATTTTTTGAACATCGCCGTATAGAATTATCTTTGCAGTATGCCACAAAACTGTATTCTAATGAGTCAAACCCTGCTTACAAAAGCGTTTTAATCCTATTTGTGGGGATTTGTATGATAAGAAAACTTCACTTGTTCCGCCTATATATCTCCTTCCCGTCTTCTTTCTTCTTCCCCTTGGCAATTATTGAGGCCACAAGTTGACCTTACCTTGACCACATTAAAAAGCTCAGAAACTAATGAATTACAACCTAAACAAGAATTAAATCAATTAAAAAGTAAATATTATACATACAAATCCTTATTTACTGATGGGTCCAAGGATGGTTGCGTGGTGGCTTGTGCCACTGTCATTGGATCCAGAACTGTATCTTCTCGTTTACCAGATAAGAGCTCTATTTGTACAGCAGAAGCTAACGCCATATTAACAGCCTTAAACTATATTAAATACATCCTAAATACACACAGTATATCATATTTTCTAACTCTCTTTCATGTATTCAGGCTATTGAAAATCTTTCTTGTAAACATCCACTTTTATTAGAAATTATTGAATTGTACAATGAGCTTAATACTGGCCAATACGACATCGTCTTTTGTTGGTTACCCAGCCACGTTGGCATTTCTGGGAACACAATGGCCGATCTTGCTGCTAAGGCAGCACTCAACAAATCTGTGACACCACTTCTGATCCCATACTCTGATTACAAAGCTAGCATTAGAACCTACATCCGTGATCTGATGCAAAAGAAGTAGGACACCCAAGCAGGTATAAATAAATTACATGCAATAAAACCCTATATTGGTTACACCTACTTGGGTTGTCAGTCCAGATTTGAAGAGGTCGTATCGGCCAAACAAGATATAGTCATCAGTACCTATTGAAAGGTGAGGATTCTCCGTTTTGTATCCCTTGTGATGAAAGAATTACGGTCAAGCATGTCCTACTTGACTGTGTTGAATATTCCATCACAAGGGATATCTATTTCAAATCACGAACTATGAAGGATCTTTGTAATAATATAAGTTCTCATTTAATTATTGCATTTTTAAAAGAATTAGATTTGTTAAATGATTTGTAAATAGATACATATTTTATTATTGGTAGTTTAGATTAGTAACTGAGATTGTTAGTGGCTGTACCCTCAAAGGGGGTTGAAGTATTGTAAAATTATTGTCCTCCTGAAAGGGTGAGTATGTCCCGAAACATTTAAATTTACCAGCTGTTTTAAATGTAGTATTTTTGTTATTTTAAATTTCGGCTAAATCTTCCTACCATCGCCAGCGGCTGAAGGGATGATATAAATCCAGCTAGGGTCCATGCAGGTAGCAAAAGTAATGTAAGTCACCATGGTCCCTAGTTAGGTGATATACCTCGAGTTGTTGGCGATCTATAGACAGTTTTTATATTGTATTGTCCTAATAGTGCTATTAGTTTTAACTTTCCACACTAGTTTTAGTTGTAATTGTGATATTCTAGTTGTTTTACTGTCCGTTGAAGACAGTTTTTTTCTAATATACACATATTACATTTCAATGACAAATATGCACTCGTCACGATATGGCTGAAATATTGCCGATGTGACGTTAAATATTAACTCACTCACTCACTCTAGTTATTTTACTGGCCGTCGCTGACAGGGTTTTATAACGTGACTTAAATTATTGCGACTTTGTTTATTATTCAAATCCTCGTCACGATATGGCTACAATACGGACGATGTGACGGTAAATTTTAACTCACACATGCACTTATTTCCTGTTGAGGCAAATGAAGCTTCCACGATGACGAGGACATACAGACGACAAAGGCGTGGTTAGAGGGCCAATCTGCGGATTTCTATAAAAGTGAAGGCAAAATGGAATAAGTGTATTGAGGTAGAAAGGTTAACATATGCTCTGTTGGAGACCTTTCACACTGGATGGGTCGTGTGCCAAAGAGAATCTCCCTTGCCCATCTTGCAATACTGAAATGACACTTCTACCGCCTTGTCGAAAGTTTGGCTTCAGAAATAGGGCACACATAGCCAACCGTGATATTTTCTTGACGATGGTTGAAATGACTTCAAGCCTCCATCGTATGACTGAGACGTGCTGCTCCAGTAGCTGGTAAGACACAGCTAAAACAGTGAGTACAAGCAGTCACGAGGATGCTGATGATAATGCTATATCTGTATCTGTTGCAGCAGACTATTGTGATGTTGATAGCTCTGACAATGACTTTTCCAGTTTAAGTCAAGTACCTGTATTTTGTACGATGTTTTCCATTATTACTATAGTAATATTTATTGACACCCTGATCTTAAGAGAAAAGTTTCATTTTTCATTTTTAATAGAAACAGTATTTTCAAACTCTCTTGAACACCGTAAAAAGGGAAGGTACATATATAACTAAATGTATTATAAAAAAGCATGTGATTTAGGTTGACAACACCCAGGGTGTAGTAGCACCTGATAGAAATTTAACTGTGATCATGTAAGTAATTCTCGTTCATGATTAGAGGTCGTCCATACAAGGATCCCAATTGCCCAGATCGATGCTAATGTTGTTGATCACTGGAATGTCTGGTCCAGACTCGATTATTTACAGATAGCTGGAATATTGCTGAGTGCGGCGTAAAACTCAACTCACTCACTCACCGTACAAGGAAACTGTTATCACAATGAGTCTTATGTCATTATTTCCACTGTTGTGTTATGTGTAAAGCGGGGAACGCGATTTTCTGTTCCTCAGAGAATATTGCATTGGGAAGAAGTGCCACACAGAGCAGTACCTACAGTGAAAACAGTGTCAAAACAGGGAATACACATCAGGTTTTCGAGGCCAGGTACGGCGTGGATGGTAGAGCTACCAACGACTTCTATAGTAGACCATTCACATGTACACATACATTAGGGGGAGACTCAACATGGACGGTGTTCCTGAACATCTCAAATACAGACAAGATACAACACGTGAAACTGTATCTGCGTAATACGGGTGAGTATTGGAAGCAAAATATATTATTTGTTTTTGTTTCTAATTATACAAATATAGTCCTGAACTACATCTACCTAAATTTTCACAAAGTAGAAGGACCGCCTCCGTGGTGTAGTGGTTAGAGCGTCCGCCCGGAGAGCGGAAGGTCGCGGGTTCGATCCCCGACCGCGTCATACCAAAAGACGTTAAAATATGGTACTTGTTGGTCCCTGCCTGGCGCTCGGCATGAATTGGTACAACAAGGACTGGTCGGCTCGGAGTCAGTATAATGTGTCTGAGTGGGGTATTCATGCTTCACTGCGTCATGGTATCTGAGTGGGCTAGCACTATAAAACCAGCTGAAGTCTGGGCTAGTACAAGCAGCGCACACACACATACACACTCATGCACGTCGTCATATGAGCGAAATATTCTCAAGCACGACGTTAAACCCAATTTCACCTCACCTCACCTCACCTCACAAAGTAGAATGTATCGTTGATGTATAGTTCTTGAAGGGCGTACAGAATGTTGTCAGTGTATGTATATTGGGTCACCATGATCATCTCGATCTCAAGTTGTTTTTGTCTCTCTGAGATTTTCCCTTTGAATTGCAGACCAAGACCGAAACAATGGTATGAAAATATATGTTAGAGGAAAGCTTTGCTTCCAGTGGCCAAGGAATACCCATCCGCCAGATATAGCTGATGTCAAATGTCAACAAGCACTGACAGGAAACAACCTGGCCATACGAACAAGCAATATTATCACGTTGTGCGAGGTACAGATATTTGGTAGGTAAACATACACCTTTCAGACTGTAAGACGAATATTTTGTTCTATTTTAACGTTGTTATAAAAAGTAATTCAGTTGGGTCACAAGATGCCTGTCTAATGGGTTAGAAGCTTCAAATGCAGATGGCTTGCTGTTATTATCATTATTGGGTTGTTGGTTGTAACTGATTGGCGGGAATGAGCTGTTTCTTCAGTTTTGTTCGTCATTTAGGTTGGTTATGTATTCAGTTTGTAGTGACGGCTGGTTTGATGAGGATTGTGACAAACAGTGTCACTGTTCACTAAACACAGAAGTATGTGACAAGATCACTGGGCAGTGTCTGAGTGGATGTGCGCCAGGATACATGGGCCCAGACTGCCAAACAGGTACAGGTTCTGGACGGTATAGTGTATTACTGACATTTCAGACCCGTGAAGATCCGGGTTAGAACTGGTCTTCAGCAACCCATGTTTTTAGTAAAAGGCGACAAACGGGATCGGGTGGTCAGGCTCGGTGTTTTGTCGACAAATCCCACCCCACCTCCATAGATTGATGCTCATGATGTTGATTACTGGATTGTCTGGTCCATGCCTGATTATTTACAGACCGCCGCCACATGGATGGGCGATTGCTTAGTGCGGCCTTGCAAACAAACAAAACAAACACTACATGATGCTCCACGTACGTTCACCCGTTTAGCATATGCATATGGGTATCAATTAAACTCCACCTGCATCCTTAGGCATTTTGTCACAATTTTGGTCCAAAAAGGCGAATAAACCCTAGCAGATTAGAATGTAGACCATGACATGTCTTTCCAAGTATCATTAATATTCAATAACATATATGCATACGTCTCATAATATTCTCAGTACTTTACGCCAGCTGGAATGCATACCTTTGAGCGTTTGCCGTACGTCCAAGCGTTTGATACCAGCATTTGCCTTCTTTAAATTATCTCTAATGTCTCTAAGATACGTTTACCATATTATCCTTAATGATATGATGCAATCTGTGTCCAAAATATGAGATTGTCGAATAGCTTACTGTTTCGTTTACTTCATGTACAGAGTGTCCAGACGGTTACTATGGGGACTGCACCTCCAGGTGTGGAAACTGCCTCAATGCTACCTTTTGTGACAAGACTACAGGCATCTGTCCTGGAGGTTGTGCAGCAGGGTGGCGAACTGACACCTGCCTTCAACGTGAGTACATTTTCGTTGCTTGAGGATAATTGTTTTGTTCCATGCATAATCCCAAAATATTGTCACAAGCATGTAAACATAGGTAGACCAGACCCCTTTCCATATTAACTTACAATTTAACCTCACATAAGATCTATTTCACCCAAACAACGACACGACTTTGCTAAGGATGTACTTGTTGGTTTTTATGTATCTAAACTTGCTTATGTCCCGTTGATATATTTATGTGTTATGTTGCAAGAATTCCGATTCTCTCTCTTGCCGTTATTTATTGTTAACAACAAAGTCCACTATTGGAAAATGAAAGTCATCCCGAGTATTACATATTTTTTGTTGAAATGTTTTGTAGGGTTGACACACTTGGTCATAATTGTACACTTTGTTTCTTCTCCTGCTCCTTAATTATAGCTTCAGTTGTGCTTATCCATGTCGAAAGTAACCTTGTATCTGAGCAAAGTGAACATTATAAACCTAATGTGTACATCTTATCAGAGGAGACGGTATGGTATGAACCGTGCTTGGAAGTGTGGAAACTGTTTTCATATTAATGTGTGTAACATGTCAACAGGAATATGTTGTTGGGTGTGCAGGAGAAAGATAACTGTGTTCAAATGTGGAATATATACGATGCAAAATTATACTTGAATATTAAAAGAATAGTGAGTTAGGAATGACTGAATTGATGTTTTACGTCGCATTGGCAATATTTCAGCCATGTCCTGACGAGAAAATTTAATCATTGTTTAAGCATACATGTATGTTTTAAAACCTGTAAGCAAAAAACAGTAAAACAACTAGAGTTAAAAAGTTAGAATTAAAACTAGCATGAAACGTTAAAGTAGTAGCAATATTCGGACAAGATACAATATACATCCATGGGGAAATACTGTTTATTTTTGCTACCCGCATGGACCCTACCTGGATGTCTTGAATCAAAGGAACATATATTCTACGATTATAACTGTGGTCAGATGAAACATACTTGGAACTGAAAGGATAACGAGATGAGTTGTTTATGTTTTGGGGTCATTAATGGCCAACTATTGATCCCATGCGTTTCATACTATTGCATACTGCAAATTGTGAATTACTGTATCTCATTCATGTTCCTTTTGCCATCATGAAAAAAACCCATCAGCATGCCCAGATGGTTACTATGGTCCTAACTGTGGCTTCCAGTGTGGAAGCCGTGTGGATGGTGATGTTTGCATCAGGACAAATGGAACGTGTCCAAGAGGATGTGCAGCAGGGTGGTTCAGCGACAGGTGCAATCAGCGTAAGTCAACTGCAATTACAGAATGCAGTAATAAGATATTCTTTGTGTCATGTCTGACTATTCACCATGAACGTTAGCCAACATATTAACTTTGCGATATACTGGCCCATAAAAACAAATGCGCTACCAAGTAATTGTTTGATCGGCAATCTAGAAGAAAAACATGAAGTATATTACTTTATGAATGACAACTTCTTGTTTATTTCATAGAACAACGATTCGATGTACGAGATTCTTACACCGTTATCACTTTAAGCCTGATAATGTTAGATGAAAAATATGTCTCGTCTACTCCCTAGAATGCGCTGATGGTATGTACGGGGTTGACTGTATGTCACGATGTGGTCAGTGTAAAGACACCTTAAGCTGTGATAAGTCCAGTGGAGAATGTCCTGAGGGATGTCAGGGTAACTTCATGAAGCCCCTGTGTCAAGGTAAGACATGGAAAGAAAAATACGTACTGTGAAATAAACGTGTGAGTATTATAATGTAGAGTCGACTATTCGGCACTATTGAACACGGAGATAAATACTATAAAGCATCTTGTTTGTTTTTTCACTAATCATTAACTTTGCAAAGACAGCTTCAAAATATATACAGATGGAAAAAAGTATCTCGACACCCAAGCTTGATGACAGGATCTATATTAAATCCCTCCTTGTATAATATGTGGTCTTAATAGGAAATAATTTTGTAGCCAAAGTGCTAAAAAATCTTTCGTTAGCACAAAAGCTAACAATAAAGAATCTGAATGGTATAATGTTATTCAATATGGATATATATAAATACATAGTGCCCGGTAACATCAGGTCAATCAAACCAGGTAGTGCCAGTTGCAGCAACACTTGGTACACTTCTCGTCGTGGCTCTCATCGCTCTGCTGACAGCTATTATTTATAACAGAAGGTAAGGGGAAGACAATGTATGACAAATATAATATAAATACAAGGATTCGTGGTATTAAGCAACGGTACCTGATAATTTTGTATCAAGGACTCTTAGGCTACTGCTTATCATATCACTATATTACCACTGATGATGCTTCATTCAGTATGTTTACGTGGTCAGATCGTATACTTTTAAGTACATGCATATCAGTTTTCTAGGAATGTGTGACATAAGCAAATTATAGTGTGCAATTGGCAACACTTACAAAACGAGGGATTCTTAGAGAAAGAATCACGGAAGCATATGTGAGCTTCTGATATTGATATTAAGTCCGATTGACGTATTTGTGCAGAATTAACCAGAGATGTATATTCATATTATGGAGTTCATTACAAAGAGTTTGATAAAACGTTTGTACGTTATCACCATGTGGTAGTTAATAACCATAGAGAGGTTAACATAAAAACGATGAGTACAAGTAGCTTATTTTTGTATATTGCAGACTAAAGAGTCAACTGGATGCTTTACTAAAGAAATCCGAAGACAACTACATATCCCTAGACGAGAGGACCAAGGATCCAGTTGTGGAGAACACATATGAGCACATTGACAATACCACTCCTTACATTAATGTAGGGAAAGGCTCACAGACCCGCATTTGAACTGATCAAAAGGAAATCTACAAATATACAACAGAATTTACCTGTCTGTTTTTTCAAATAAAGTTATGGATAACTGATTGTAACATAAATGTGTCATCACTGATGGAATATAATATAATATTATGTATTGGTCCTTGTATTTGTAGATGAGTAGTGTATGACTTACTAGATTCTCTTTGGTTAAGAAATTATTAACAGTAGTAAATATCGGGTAGCTTGACACATCCTATATTACTGTGTAATATGGGGCGGTAGGGTAGCCTAGTGGTTAAAGTGTTAGCTCGTCACGCCGGAGACCCGGGTTCGATTCCCTGCATGAGTACAATGTGTGAAAGCCGATTTCTGGTGTCACCCACCGTGATATTGCTCGAATATTGCTAAAAGCGGCGTAACACCCGACTCATTCACTCACTGTGTAATATGATAATAACAAAGTAATAATGTCAACAAGTTCAGGATCTGTTGGGGATTTCAGTATTGAATGAAACCCCAGTAAAATATGCTTGTCCTCAACTGCATCGGATGGCCATACATGATGACTTGGTTGATTGTAGGTGATCCTACTTTGAACGGATCTCATGTCAATCAAGCGGGGTGGGAAATATATGCATAAAACTCTCAAGTTTGTGTGATATTGTAACACTGAACAATTTCTACAGCTACCTTTCGCTATTTATGTCGTGTACCGTGACAACATTATCCTCATACAAGATCTTTCTATTAATGCAGACTGTGGCTTATGTTGATAAATGGAACATATGTCAAAGTATTATTGTCATTTTAATGAAAATATCATTGTAAATAAAGGTTATTTGATTGCAGTTATAGATTGTATCTGTCTCAGTGTCACTCCACAGAGTAAACAGTGTCAATATCACCTTTCCCATTGTCCTACATGCTGTGTACATATTGTGCAGTGTCACGTTCTGAACATCAATTACCTGTCACAAATATCCTGCAGGCAATTCATTCACCTTTGACAGTTCTGTAACATATCTGTATCTACCAGTGTACAAATTTGCACGGAAACCATACCCTGAATGCAGACGTAGGCAATTAAGCCTAAACTGATATGTGTCCTTGTGTACAACGAGTTTACAACATCTGTCCTTTTGTAAGCAGCAATCTTATTTCACATCTGTCAAAGTACGTTTCTTCGCAAACTAAAACTCGTTTATTTACGGCACAATAAAACCTTCACAGTTGTAACAAACCACGAAGAAGGTAGCTGGATGGGTGTCTCACCCGGTAGATCAGATGAATGCATTTAAGCAGAAAATCATATACTTCGTTTTCGCCACGTTACCACGAGACACATCAATACAAACAAGTGACAGGAGTGATGCAATTATCACAATGAATCAGGTCTTTGCTATTGAGCCCTGTTCTAAACAAAATGCAAGGAGCATTTACTACATAACATTAGCGAATTGTTCACCTCGTTTGGGTTCAGTGGGCATAGGGATGTGAAGAAGAGGACAGGGTTGCCTTTGGCGACTGTTCACTGCCATTCTCTGTTGGGTTCGTAACCTGTGCGAGGATACCAGTTTCAACGTGATAATGACATCTGGACAGCGTCATACACGTCTATGAGCGGTAACGTTTCTAGCATAATTCGCAATAGTTCCAGACTTAAGCATTCTCAGAGAAAATATCATTTATATTCAGGGAAAGGCATCAGTGAGTGAGTGAGTTTAGGTTTACTCTGCACTCCGCAATATTCCAGCTATATGGCGGCGGTCTGTAAGAAATCGAGTCTGGACCAGACAATCCAGTGATCAACAGCATGAGCATCGATCTGCGCAACTGGGAACCGATGACATGTGTCAACCAAGTCAGCGAGTCTGACCACCCGATCCCGTTAGTCGCCTCTTACGACAAGCATGAGTTACTGAAGGTCCATTCTAACCCGGACCTTCACGGGCCGAGAGGCATCAAGGCTATGAGTGAGTGGGTGAGTCTAGGTTCAACAATATACCAGCAATATCACGGCGAGAGACACCAAAAATGGGCTTCACACATTGTAGTCATGTGGGGAATCGAACCCGAGAGATCGCTTTAACCACTAGGCTAAGCGTATGCGTGTGTGTATGGTCCTTTAGCATGGGAGGAGAGTCACGTGAGTTTGTTACAATTTTTTAGTAGCAAGTGACATCAACTGAGGGTAGGAAACATTAAGTTTGGACATAAGACTAATCTGAGCCTCCCCCCTCCCCGTTATCAAAAGACCAAACCATTAACTGAAGTCACAAACCCAGTATTATGAAATGATATACGGAATATACGTAATGCAAAGAAATGCCCGAAGTTATTAGAATACTGCCGAAGCTCAAATCTCATGAATATGACTAATTCATAAATGTTAACCTCAGCAGAATTCGAAATAATATCTTCTACCTTGTATTTGTGTACATGTTGAATATTGCGTATTTTAAGAATGGCCAATCAATATATCACACATTATGTCTTATTGCATTTGGCATCGGATGCTTAACTGCAATAAAATCTGTTCCAGCATCACATATATTAAACGTACCGGCTGGTCCAGGGGGTACAATGAGCATAGAGAAACTGGAATATGCATCTTAACAGGTATATATTATACACGTGTAAGGTCAGTTGAAAGGGAAGTAGTGACATAAGTGGCTGGCATCTGATGGGCGAACACAGCTGGGAAGTCGCTGTGCACCGGAGATGCTCCATTTGCTTTGCGCCAATCATCACGACGGCATCCCCCGATGTGCTGGAATGCTAGAATAAAACCGTGAAGGAGCCTTCTAACAGCCCCTGTCCATACATGTACGTTCTTCCTCATAACGCCAACCCTGAGACGCTATAGGGCTAAATGAGTTAGTGGGTTAATATTTAGCGTCACATTGGCTATATCTCAGCCATATCGTGACGAGAACAATTGATAAATTAATTATACATTTTGAACTTACTTATTTTATACTTACCAGATGTTTTGAACGTAGTATTTCTGTGCTGTTAAATTTCGGCTAAATTTTCCTATAATCGCCAGCAGCTGAAGGGATGGTCCGTCCAGCTCGATAGGTTTGCAGATAGCAAAAGTAATGTAAGTCACCATGGTCCCTAGGATGGTGATCTACCTTCAGTTGCTGGCGATCTATAGCCCATTTTTAGGATGTAATGTCCTAAATAGTATATAATTTTAAGTTGCATGCTAGTTTTAAATTTCTGATTGTGGTATACTAGATGTTTTACTGTCCTTTCGCGACAGATTTAAAAAAAAATGATTATACAGTATTTACTGTTTTAGTCGTGATATAGCTGAAACATTGCCAAAGTGACTCACTATAGTTAAACTGTTTTAGATTTTAGATTTAATTACTAGTTTTAGATTAATATCAGTGATAATCTAGTTGTTTTACTGTCTTTCGTTGACAGGTGTTTATAATTTATTATTTTAATTATTAAAAAACTATAACTTCATTTAGTCACTACATGGCTACAATATTGTCGACGTGACTTAAAATTTTAACTCAATCACTCATTCGAAGGTTCAAAAACTAACAATCGCAGTTTGTGATTCAAGCTACTTATATTTAGATACATCTATCAACAAAGCAGATCAAGCAAAATGTATCAATTAAGTATGTTTCTTTTACACAATTACTAATTAAATGAAAATAAACATTATTAAAAATATCTTTAACCGCTTTTAAACTGCAATATTTATCCCTTGTGATGGAAAAATCAACACTGCTAAGCAGGACATCGCCGTATAATGACCTCTTGACATCTGGACTGACAACCCAAGTAGGTTAAGGTATAGATGGTTAAATTGCTGGTAAATTATTGATACCTACTTGAGTGTCCAACTTCTTTTGCATTATATCACGTATATAAGATCTAATGACAGC